TGGCGTTATACAAAAACTGTCGGAATTATTGTTGAGTTCTAAACGTACCTGATCTTTTGGGCGATGCTTGGTTTGTGAATTTCGGTGGTTTCCGGCATATTCCGGCCTTCCGAAATATTTCGCCTGCGTAGCGGCCCATCCCTAGACGTAACTAAAATAAAGTTACGGCAAGCGTTAGCAATTACGGCAAATGTCAATAATTACAGCAAACATCAGTAATTGCGGCAAACGCCAGTAATTATGACCTACGTCATTACGACACTTTTGCCGAACTACAGTATGGGCCTGTATCTTTGTCCCTCACTTAAAACTTGCCTGGGACTTCCATACGATACCGAAAAAAAAGCACCTTGTTTGTGGCATGTGTAGATGTAGTGAGTAGAATGCGCCACACCACAGCTTGGGCTAGTACTCGCTATTTTTTTTTTTTAAAAAAAAAAAAAGAAGAAAAACGCTTGGTCCGATAGTCGTGTGTATGTATAGCAAGTAGAATACACCGCACCGTAGCTTGGGCCTGTGCTTGCTGCATTAAGAAGAGAAAGCACCATGCTATTGTTATGTGGACAAGTAGCAAGTAGAATGTGCCGCACCATAGCGTGGGCTTGTGCTTGCTACTTTAAAATAAGGTAGAATGCAGAAAGTTACATGTATGCATTGCAAGTAAAATACACCGCACCATAACGTGGGTTCGTACTTGCTGTTTTAAGGAAAAAGCAAATACAAGATTTATGTGTATGTGTAGCAGGTAGAATGTGCCGCACCAAAGCATGGGCTCGTACTTGCTGCTTTAAGGAAAAAGCGAATGAAAATTTATGTGTGCTCCTACCTATTATTTAGAAAGGGGAATTATGAATTGAGTGAAATAAGGCAAAAGAATGGATCAAAAATGGGCATGTACCGGTGGGTCAAACTGAATGAGAATGATAAGGTAAGAAGTGGATAAAGCAGAAGGAACGGAAATGGTAGAAGAAATAGAAGGAGTGAGGAAGAAAGAAGAAAACCGAAGGAGCGAAGATGCTAAAGAAGTAGAAAAAGTGGAGAAGCAGAAGAAACGAATAGAACTGAGGAAGCTGAAGAAACGGGCGAAGTCGAGGAAATGGAAGAAGCCGAAGAAGCGGTGGAAGAAGCAGAATGAGTAGGAAGAAGCCGAAGAAGCGGTGGAAGAAGCCGAATGAGTAGGAAAACGTGTGATGTCTCTTGTTATTTAGGGATGAACTATCACGGTGCGTCATATACATGCCCAAATTTCGATCCTTTGTCTTTGTCATGTGACTAGCATGTGACACCTGATAAAGTTGTAGTTATGTTTTCGGCACCGAGAGCCGCAGCGTGGCACTACTCCCTGTATCTTCATAAATAAAGTTGATCCGAGCGAGAATAATATACTTTATCGAATTTGTTATTTGGCAATGTAAATTATTTTAATACACAAGCACCAAGTCTAGTTTAATTTGTTAACACTACGTAGATGTTACTAAATCTTGTGAATAAGTTTTTCTATTCTGATTATCTTGATCGCTACGAGATGTTTCTTGGTGCAAATTAGGAATTTCAGTTAATATTTATTTATTTTTTTATTTTTGTTATTTTTACCAGAGTTACGAATTCATTAACAGAGTTACGAACTATTTCTCCAAAATTATGCTTACCAAAGTTACTAATTACCGACAATTTTCATAGGATTTTAACTTTCATTGGTCAATGAATTAATCAACACATCTTTCAACGGTTACTATCAGTTACTAGTAGAGATGTGACCCGTTATCCACTGAATATAAATTTATTAATAAATCTATTGAATATTCACTGAATAACGGGTCACATCTCTAGTTACTAGGATACCGTTTAAGAAAGCGCATATTAATTATAAATCATTGTATTTAATTAGTCAATTGCTTTTTCTTAGTTGTAAATGCTGATTAAACAGCATAGTATTTATAAATCATACGCATAGCATTTAATTTTAATAATCACAACATTATATGTTCAGCTTTACGAAAGTTTGACCAGCATCATTGCAATCACTTGATTAATTTAAATTCCAGTAACTTTGAACTTACTGCCACACACGTGATAGAAAGTTCAAAGGTATTTTTTTAATTTTTTTGATAATGGATGAATCAACAACGTAACTTGTGCGCAGCGCGTACAACCCGTAAGGCGAGACCAACTGGATTCTGTGTTTTACATTACCCCCCTCTCCAGCCCCCCCTCTCCCTCATAGTAAAAAAATTTTGATAAATATATATAGGGCTCCGGGCTATTTCAGAAAATTTTTATATAGTTACGGAACAATTCGGAAAATTTTTTTTCGAAAAAAAAAGTTTTTGAAAATTTTATTATGTAAACTACAAACCCCCCCCCCCCCCCTCCTCCGGAGGGGAGAGGGGGGTAATGTAAAGCACAGAATCCAGTTGGTCTCGCCTAAATATGACGTATTATAAAATACAGAAATTACCATAAAATAACTAATTTATTTATGATGCTGATCATAGCGATAGTAAAAAAAAAAAAAAAATTAGTTATTTATAAATATTTTTGGTTATGTGAATTTTTTTCAAATTTCGAAAAGCCTTATATTTATAAAAATAAGCCATGTGCTATTATTTTATATTATCTGTTCAATGTTCCATCATTATATTATACTAAATATGTTGTTAGCTGTAGTGAGCTTGATGAGTATCTTGATGAAGTACTTGCTCTGTAAAAAAATTTACCGCAGCTTTTTTTTAATTTCAATCAATAAATTCATAAAATAGCGACGTTTTAGATATGCAAGCAACTTTAAATTTCGGTAACCCAACTCTAAAAAAAAATTGATACACTTTACTTATATTGATTTTATAGAATAATTTTTTGAAATATGCTTTTTATCTTTTCCATTATCTACCATTCCATTTACTATTTTGAAAAAAATATAAATATTTTTTTATAATTCACATAATTGCATTGCAGGAAATACAGAATCATAACCATTGCAACAATTAACCTACAACTATTTATTATTGCTCTGACAGTTATACATGTGACCCGGTCATAAATTTTATATGTAAAAACCGGTTTTTACATATAAAATTTATGACCGTGTCACATCTCTAGTGCCAGTTTGTAATGTAAAATGTTTCCGGGTCTCTTACATTCCTAGGTTTTAAAAATTGATTAGTGCTCCCTGGGACCGTCAATTGACTATATAATTTGCTAAATTGACGCTCAATTGACGGTGGGCGGGTACTTTAACAAGGGGTGCTATTTGCTGAAAATTACGGTATTTTAAATTTGGAGGTCGTCCTGGAAATTTTATTTTATTTTGTCGAGAGTAAGGGACTTGAATATTTAATTTTGTAATTTCTTCCCATAATTCGGCGATAAC